TCCCCCTCTCCCCCCTCTCTCTCTCTATCTCTCTCTTTCTTTCTCTCTCTCTCTCTCTCTCTCTCTCTCTCTCTCTCTCTCTCTCTCTCTCTCACTCCCACTCTCTCCAAAGGATTACATAAAATTACCACTTACGCACACACAAAAATAATGAGCGTGCATTAATCAAAATACTCACGTGAGGATGTAAATGAGTTCCCGGATGACGCAACGACAAACCAGAGCCTGACAAACTCAACCCTTGACCTGGATGTGCGTGCAGACCAGGGTGTCCGGGTGACGTCACAGCCAGGGGCGTGTCCCCAAAGATCGGTGCGGAGTAACATTTACTGCCGTCTTCCGCGAGAAGACCAGGGAAACTCTCTGCTGGCTTTGGAATGGTCAGCGTGGGCAGTCGACGAGTTTTATGTACAGAATGGTGGTCACTATTGACCACACGAACAACGTCATCTTCTGCATAGGAAATAGTTTTTGACACTAGCAGTTTGTTTTCTTTGATAACGTCATTATGTTCTTTTTGGTATCTGTCTGAGTCTACAAGCTCTTCTTCTTCGTCTTCTTCTGCTTCTTCGGGTTCTTCATTCAGAGCGTCATACTTTCTTTTGAGGTGTACGGGTGATCCGTCATTGTTTGAGGAAGAAGAACTATCAGGTTCTATTTGAATGTCAGATTCGTTTTTTTCTTCCCCCGCTTTTGCTACGGTGTATTTTCGTTCTGTTTGAACACCATCTAAACTTACGGTGCTTTTAGAAGCAGCAGATTCACGCAAAGCGCGTGTCAAGTTGTGCAAATACGTCGTAAAGGGGATGCTGGAGTCGACGAGCAAAGGCGACGTTGAACTGTTGTGTTCTGCTGGTAGGTGAGTCTGAGGAGCTGGATACACAAACGGGAAAAGATGAGACAAAGTTTGTTGAGCTACCGGAAATTCTCGGAAGCCCCCGAGACTATGTTCTATACCTGGTCTTCTATGGGGGCTTCCCTCTACCACAGGGAATTCCCGAAATCCACATAGCTTCGGCTCTATGTTGGAAAGTCGTCTTGAAGTTCTGTCTTCGATAGGGCTCGGGTAAATGATACCGGTACCCGAACAATGTCTCTTTGCCTGTGTTTCTATAGGGCTTGGCTTTCGCTTGACTAAACCCAGAGCCATGTTGTCTAAGTGTCTTCTCTGCGCAGAAAGCTGAGGAACGAGTATGTCCCCTGAGCTACGTCTTCTGCAGCTACCTGCATCCAGAGAGTTCTGTCCCATGCTCAAAGACAGACTCCCCTCCCGGAAATCATGCATGCTCCTGCGTGCTCCACGCGGTAGTACATCAAAAGCGGAAGTCAAGGGCGAATGTAGAAGAGAACTGTGCTGTTGCTGTTGTTGCTGCGGCTGTTGTTGCTGCTGCTGCTGCTGTTGCTGCTGCTGTTGTTGTTCGTTTGAGTTTATTGTTGAAGGTGAAGAGTAACTCAAAAGTGTCTTCTCTAGCAGAAAACTTTGCGCAGTGGATAGGTTGCTTCCAGGTAGAGTAGGCAAAATAGATGAGTTTGGGGGTAAGGGTAACGACCGCACTGGGTGGACCACCGTCGGCTGGGCAATGGATCGATGTCGAAGGGATGCCTGATCATCCAAAGTGTCGGACAGGCTTGTCAGATGTCGGTAAGTCGAGCTTGGAATGGAGTCCCGATCAGAAGAAGCGGACGATTCCGGTGAAGACGATTTTGAAGCAGGCAAAGACCATAGTGCTTCGGTTTTAACTCCGTTCTTGTTATCTGTGTTTTCAGAACTGTCCGAAACCCTGTCTACTGCCAGTTTATAACCGTCAGGAATCAGTGACACTTTACACTGACCTTTCCGAGAAAGTGAAGACTCTGTGTGTGCATCTTTGCTGTCTCCGTTCAGCTCTGATTTTAAAATAAAGATAAAAACACACCAATGAAAAAAATGAAAACACGTTAAATGGATAGAAAAAACAACAACTTGAGTCAGTAGTACTTTAATTCTAAAAAAATCAACTGAACTCAAATAAAGCTAAAACACATGTGTGGCGTCGTGGTCAAATCAGGCGTTCGACAAAATAATTACATCGAAGAAACCGACATTTTTTTCGGGCAATTTTTATCAATTTAAAAAATATATATTTTATGCTCAAAACATAAAATTTCCATTTAAAAACACATTTCTTTGCGGATTTTACTGGAAAAACGGTGATCAGAGTCACAAAAGAATGTAAATTTCAGTGTCCAAAGGCACAAGATCTTTGAAAGTTGCCAAACTTTAACAACCGTTTTTTCGCTAATTTTACCTCTGGCACTAGCCAAGCCCCACCTCCTCCAATTGCAGATCTCAACTTTTATTCGAGATAGATACATTTTTCTCCTCAATATCTAGGCAAATGAACAGGCTTGAAGTTGATAACAATATCTTCTTACCCCCATACAGACGAGCGCTTCTACTACTACTACTACTACTACTACTACTACTACTACTACTACTACTACTACTACTACTACTACT